TTTTTCCATGCACTTTTCACACACACACAGGTCTTTCGGCAATGAAAACACATACAGAATCACATAACACGAACAAAGATTGAAATAATACTCCTATAAAGAAAAATATTGTTATTCGAACTTTAATCACACACCGCGGAAATATATCGTTGATACAGGAAATCGTAATCACGACTGTTTCACCTAATTTGAGCGCCATTTTGAATCTCTGCCATTTTATTGAAATTCATAGGTAATGTTGGACCTGAGCCGGAAGGTCACGTGGCATACGTCATTTTTCAAACATGATATATATCGTCAGTTAAGCGCAATTTTGAATTGGTAGCTATTTTGAATCGGTAGCCATTTTGATTGAAATTCGTAGGCTATGTCGAACCTTAATATCTGTTTAGCCGAGGTTAATGGTACCAGAAGTATATGTAGTATACATTGGCTGCGCTGAATATGGGCGTTCGCTATCGGTTAAGCAATAAATAATAGGACAAACGTCTCATATGATATCTGTTGAGCACCATTTTGAATCGATAGCCATTTTGATTAAAATTCGTAGGTTGTGTCGTCCCTGAGTGTTTCTTCCGACAAGCACCAGAAGGTCACGTGGCATACGTCATCTGTCAAACATCATACGTATCTTCAGTTGAGTGCCATTTCGAATGGATAGCCATTTTGGTTCGAATTCGTAGGTTATGGCGACCCTGAGTGTCTGCTTTCAACGAGCACCAGAAGGTCACGTGGTATACGTCATCTGTCAAACATCATACGTATCGTTATTTGAGCGCCATTTTGAACCGTTAGCCATTTCGACGGCTTGAGTGCCTGCTTTCGACGAGTACCGGAAGGTCACGTGGTATACGTCAGTTGTTGAATGTCATACGTCAAACGTTAGCTGAACCAGAGCGTATAGCTTCAATGAGCACCGGAAGTATCATTAACGGCTTATATTATCTATCATATGTGAGCTGTCATCTGTCGAATGTCATATGTCATACGTCATACGTTGGCTGTAATCTACCAAATGGGATATGTTAATCATGAGACACCCTGTATATTCTCAATTTTCTTCTCTGAACGAGGTTTTTTGGATGTACCCTGTATATCATACTTCGTCTTGTTATTGTATTTGTGTTATTTCCATTCCTATCGGCAGCTTGCGGTTAGCTCGCTCGTTGTAGCAGGATGTAGATTGCGGTTAGTGGGCGTGGCCTTCAACCAAATGCTGGCCTCCGATTGGCTAGCAGAGCAAATGGAACACTCTGTATTTATTGCATTGCATTATTGCAAATGGAACACTCTGTATTGCATCTTCAGATTCTTCCTGAAGAGCTGATTCCTTCAATGTACAGGGTGATTCACCATAAATGTCCCCCCTCTAGCTCACTTATTTTTGAACCGTTTTAAAAATTTGAAAGATAATCTGAAATGATTTTTCAGAAATTTTTTTCCTGTTGCATCAGAAAATACAGGGTGCTCGGAACAAACGATCTACAGAGTACTAATTGATTTTTTTAAATGGAACACCCTGTATTTTATTGTATTTTTAGATTCTTCCTGAAGAGCAGATTTCATCAATGTATCACACTTGGGGTTTAGCGGGAAGGATTACAGAGGGTGTTTAAAATCGAGATTTTCCAACTTTAGGATTTTTTTGTGCCGAAACTATTCATCATTGGTCAAAACGGCTTCTATGTTCCCATCTCAAATTTTGAATTATTATCTAGTGAAATTTAATTGAAACATATACAGGGTGGTTCAAGATTCAGAATTCTGGTCACCCTGTATCTGTTCCAATTATTAAATGTCAGTAGATAGTAAATCAGAAGTTAAGATACGGACATGAAAACCGCGTGATCGATAATGAATAGTTTCGTCACATAAAAATCCTAAAGTTAAATATCTCGATTTTGAACACCCTATATCTCTGTAATCAGTCCCGCTAGACCCCAAGTGTGATACATTGATCAAATCAGCTCTTCAGGGAGAATCTAAAAATACAATGAAAGATAGGGTGTTTCATTAAAAAAAATCAAATAGTACCCTGTAGATCGTTTGTTCCGAGCACCCTGTATTTTCTGATCTAGCGGAAAAAAACTTTATCGAAAATCATTCAAGTTGATATTTCAAATTTTAAAATCGGTTGAAAAATAACTGAGCTAGAGGGGGGGACATTTATGGTGAATCACCCTGTACCACACTTTGACTCTAGCGGGAATTCCGTTCTAAAATTGTTCTTTTCCATCATTCGGTTGCCCCCTTACGAGCAACCCTCAGAAGTCTTCAAAAGAGACTTGTGCGAGCAAGAAATGACGGGGTCTTACCTTTTAACGTGTGATCTTTCTTAGGCCACTAGACAAATTTCAGCGGTCGTGGTGGGAATCGAACCGTTACCACCGAACTCACCTACCGGCAATCCAACATGGATAGAACATTGACGCTTTGACCACGGGGCTACGCTGGCCACGATAGTCAAATATACGCCACAAACCTATTTCATATTGATCATTCCATGTATAAACTACTAGTGAGACCACTCTGTTCTTTTTTCAATATCGCAATAAAAACTAATTCATTTCCGAAATTTTTCAAAATAGGACGAATTTCACCAATTCATAAATCTGGAAATCCCAGAGAGATGACCAATTATAGGCCTGTCCCAATACTTCCGGCTCCCTCAATAGTATTTGAAAAAGTGATTCATAATAGGCTCTATGGACAGTACAGCACCTTATTGTACTAGAGCAACATGGGTTTGTTAAGCAAAAATCAACTGTCACTAATTTGATGGTCTTTAGTCAAGATGTAGCATCTGCTATCGACCAGTGCAAGCAGGTGGATGTCATCTATACAGACTTAGCTAAGGCTTTCGACAAAGTCAGCCACAAAGCATTACTCAATAAACTGAAGAAGTTCTCAATCAATAAAAATTTGATATCAATTCAATGAACATCGATCGGATAACTTTATTGGATTATCAGGTGTACCCCAGGGATCTATTTTGGGTCCATTACTTTTCATCCTTTTCGTGAATGACGATGGAGATTTTATAAAAACATATAAGTTCTTATTGTATGCTGATGATTTGAAGCTATATAAAATGATCAATGACGAAAATGACAACATTTCACTACAATAAGACCTTGACAGACTCATCTCGTTCTGCAAGTCAAATGATCTTCTACTGAATGAAAATGAATGCAAAACTCTATCATTTACTCGTAAAACTAATCACATTGATACAGAGTACTTGGTGAATAAAACTAGACTAGAAAAGGGACAGGATTTCAGAGATCTGGGGGTAGTTTTTGAAAACAAATTCATTTTTACCTCCCATATCAAGAATATTGTGAACTACAGTTACAGAAGCTTGAGTTTTGTGCTTAGAAATTCATATCAGTTCAACTGGAAAACCGGAATACTTCTATACAATGCTTTTGTACGACCTAAACTAGAATATGCCTCAGTTATATGGAATCCCAACACCATTGTATACTCTGAAATGATAGAAAAAGTACAAAGGAAATTTCTGAGAAACCTTCACTACAGGAAACATAAAGAATCTGCTTTTATGATCTCATACAGAACTCAACTCATGGAATTTGAGCAAAGAACACTAGAGCCCCGAAGAGATATCAATGATGTGCTGTTTGTTTCAGACATAATCAGTAATAAACTGAATGTACCTGATCTACTTAGTCAAATAAACATTCATGTACCTGAAGTAAAACTACGGAGAAGAAAAAATATTATCTTCTACATTGATGTTAAATCTTGCTCACTTTTTGGAAAATGCCAAAGAGCTGTTAATGAATATAACTGTGATATAGATATTTTTACATTTAGTAGTAGCGAAATGAAAGGCTCTTCTCCACCTCTTCAATATCCTCAAAATCCTTAGTTATAGGCTATATATGTTAATATTTTTGAAAAAGTTTGTCATGAACGTCTTGATTTTATATCTTAACTTAACTGTTTTTCCCAAAACGTGTATTGTGATCTTTCTGTGTAGTGTATTTTTCTTTTTTTTGTGTGTAAGTGTATTTTACTGTAGGATAGGAACCGAGATAGGAACTGTCTGTCTGTAATTGGGCCATGGCCTGTTGATTTGGCAGTATAAATAAAGTGATAAATGAGTCTATGTGATTAACTCAAGATTAATAAAAATATAGGTAATTGTAATAGTAAAGGTGGATTTATGCACAACGCTTTTTCATTTATCTGTTGTTTTCATTAAGTGTCATTAAGTTTATTTTTATTTAAGGACTATGATACCTTTATGCACGACCACTTTTTAATTTTGAACTCTTCTTCTTGGTCTAAACATAGTCCTCATCGTACATAGCCCGATGAAAATATTTGTGTTATAACATTCTGTGATCACATAATTACGATAAGAATCATTCATTCATATTGTTTTCAAAGTCTAATTTGAACATACGACTAGAATTTTCAACCACATTTTGGCAAAAGAAGAGGAAGAAATTGTTTGTCTGACTTCTGACAGCATCGCGCCTGCGCAAGTCACAGTTTTATTTGTATTTGTCGTTAAGAGATAAAAGTTGGTAATCTTTTAGTGGATAGTTAATGAAAGAAAAAACTCAATTTAGGTGCATAAATGAATGAGAGGGAATACCAAGTTTCAACTTGAAGAAGCGGTGTGCATAAATCCGCCTTAAATGAGTGTCAAAATATTTTTCAGTAGATTATGGAATGTTTCAGTTGATCATTAGATGAATATGCAGATCAGTGCTTCATTTTATCGTTGATATAAAGTATTTTTCAATAATGTCTCTCACAAACCAACGCCACAGGATTGTCATTGATACTGGTTGAGTACGACACTTTTATATCAAGTTAACTTATATATATTATCTCTCACAAACCAACGCCACAGGATTATGTCGTTGATACTGGTTGAGTACGACACTTTTATATCAAGTTAACTTATATATATTATTCCAAACTTTTTATTCCAAAGGACGATCTACTTTGGAACATTCACTCACCTGTGCAAAACTGCTAATGCCAAATGTTCCTCAGCATCTTTAGACTTGTAGTAATCGACATCACTTTGAACTGAAAATAGCTGTTTTCCAACCTTCACCAACCCATCTGCATAAATGGGCGGATCCATTTTAGCGTCTTTACAGAGTTTTGCTAGAATTTGGGCAGGTTTCATCGCGTCACGCCATGCATTGTAACCTTCTCTGAAAATTTTTATAGTAGTTTCATTACGATTTTTCCGAAAATACTACCAACAACAAAAGATCTTCGTTATTTACGAAATTTCATCAATATTGAGAATTATCAGTTTTTGTTTAATTGACTCGGCCGTTACTTGACGGAAATCCATGGAAAAAGTAAAAACTTCACAAACTATACGATTTTCACCAAATTCTCGAACACACGACATGTTTCGCTAACACAGTAGCTTCGTCAGGTGATATACTGGTACGATGAACTAAACAAACCTTGGCTTGCTTATGAATCCTACTTTCCCAACCTGCAGGATTAGTTCCCTGTGGACAGGTTCGATAAACCTCCATTTTCGAAAATTACGCACAATATCTACATTATAAGGATAAACATGATTTTTCAATTTTCCATAAACCTTCTCAAACTGATATCACTATAAAAAGAAGAAGAAAAAAATAAGTGTACTTACTAATCTGGTCCCTTTTGTGCAGGACATATTTCAATCCATGGAAAACGGTTCCTCTACCGGTGTCGTGTACACCGATTTTTCTAAGGCCTTCGATAAAGTACATCACCCTACTTTAATCGTAAAGCTTGGGAATTTCGGTGTGCACGGAAACCTGTTGGGGTGGTTGACTTCATATATTTTCGAGAGATCTCAGTATGTCCTCTTGAACGGTTTTAGATCAGAGAGAAGGTTCATTGAGTCCGGTGTACCCCAGGGATCACACCTAGGCCCACTACTATTCAGTATATTCGTGAGCGACATTGAGGACCAGTGTATAAATTCCAAGATAAAATTATTTGCAGATGATTTGAAAGCGATCTGACTACCACGGGTTTCAAGAGGACCTAAATAGATTTTCCGCTTACTGCCTCACAAACAGACTATCGATTAACCTCAACAAGTGCTATCAGATTTTATTCTCTAAAATCCTTATCCCCCCTCATGAACACCTTTACATAAACAACCAACAGATCGTTGTTGTCAACGAAATAAAAGACCTTGGCATAATTTTAGATCGAAAGCTTACGTTTGAAAGTCACATTGAATGTACAGTCAGAAAATCCTTGAAAACATTAGGTTTCATCCTATGTAGTACTCACGACTTCAGAAATCACACTTCAATTTTAACAATGTACAAAACTTTAGTGAGACCTAGTAATCTGAATTATCGTTTTTTTCGTCATAGGCATTATATTAATTATGAAGTGAATCTTGATTTCTACAAATTGGAACCGTTATTCTTGAGACGCGAATTCTATGACTCGTCTTTTGTATTCAAACTTATAAACAACCTCACTGACTCAGCATTATGCTTGCAACAACTATCACTAAATTGTAATCCCCGTATTTTACGAAATCGATTAACATTCTATCCACCACCATATTCAACAAATTACTATTGTAACTCTCCCCTTATCAGATGCATGAACTCTTATAACATAATCTGTGACCATGATATTGACATCTTCAGCAACAATTTCACAATGTTCAAGAAACAACTCAAGCACAAATTAACTATATTATATGGAAGAGCTGCCACCTAAGGCAGCAATGTACTCACTACATTCAGGTATATATATATATATTTTTTTCTCTTCTTCTCTTTAATCCTCAATAGGAGTGGTAGTTCATTTAATGATATTTATATATTATTATATATTGTTACATTTTGTATAAACTTTAGCGACTAGCATAGCTCACATTGTAAATCAAGCTTGTATTTTGTGTCACCCTGTAATTGGACAAGCTTTTTGTTTGTCTGTTGGGTGTCCTCATTAAATAAATAAATAAATAATAATTCAACACACCCTTATCAACATAAAATTGCAGCATATAATAGTATGACACACAGGCTAGTGAATGTCCCTCTTTCGGAAGTAAATTTCAATAAAGAACTCAATATCATAAAACATATTGCAGTCAACAACGGATACAACATTTGATTTGATAGACAGTATTCTTACTGAAAGACTTCATAATGAAGCTATTCAAGAAGTTTATCCTGCTATTAAGAATAATAATCAAAATTATACAATTGTAACCCATTTTGGATCATCAACTAAAAAAATAGCTTCATTTCTACATGAACAGGACTTAAATGTAACATTTAGAACAAATAACACGTTGGGAAGGTTTATCAAGAATAATAAAGACAAAAAATCAGGGGTATACAAACTCAACTGTGAATCTTGCCCTAAAGGTATATATCAGTCAGACTGGTCGTACGTTTAAGCAGCGCATTCATGAACATAAGATGCATTTTTGAAACAGAAAACAAATTCAATATACGCCAACCATATATTAAAAGAAAACTATAGTTTTGATGATAATAATTGCGAGATTCTACACGTAGAAAATGATGGAATGGAATTCAATCATTTTGAATCATTAGAAATCAACAAACTCAGAAACTTTGACATTTTACTCAACGATCAATAAGACCTCAATAGTTCACCACTGTTGAATTTGTTTTCTTAGTAGGTAATAATATGTATTTGCTATCAACCCTTTCAAGATAATCCGGTACACCGTATTTTAATGTAGATATTGTGCCTAAGTTTCGAAAATGAAGGTATATCGAACCTGTCCACAGGTAACTAATCCTTCAGGTTGGGAAAGTAGGATATACAGTGTGTCCACCTTAAGGACTTACCACCCCTGTAAAATTGTTATTATCTGACCGATTTCAAAAAACTTTTTTTGTTGGATAGGTATTTGAAATGTCTATCGAACAAGAGAGTGATTTTACTGATGAACTGTAATCGTGGTCAACTGCGACCAACTTTATTGACCCTTATTTGAGAAAGTACTATTAGGGATTTTTTTCTACAAAAAACAATTATGGATTCTGAATCACGATCACTTGAAAAACACCTTCACTGATTTTTATCATCATAAAACTCGAAAAAAAAAGTAATTTGATTTTTCGAACACCCTGTGTTCAATGATGATGAAAACCGGTACAGGTATGTTCCAAGTGATCCTGATTCTTATTTTTATTTTGAGTGAAGATTTATCAGGATGAAAAATATTGCTTACCTATCCTTTTTAATTTTTTTCTCAGACACATTGTATATTCAAATGACAAAAATTGGAACAGGTATATTTGAAATAATCCTCAATGATAATTTGTGATTATTTCTTTCTAGAAGAACCACAGAACTACATTTGCTGATCACCTATTTGAAGAAAATTATGATTCGTTTTTCCGGACACCCTGTGTTTTATGATGATGAAAATCGGTACAGGTATATTTCAAGTGGTACTGATTCAGAATCCATCATCAATTTTCGTGGAAAAAAATCCCTAATAGTACTTTCTGGAATATGGGTCATTGAAATTTGTCGCAGTTGGCCATGATAACAGTCCAAGAATTAGATCACTCTCTCGTTGGATGGGCATTTCAAATACCTATCCAACAAAAAAAGGTTTTTTGAAATTTGTCGGATAATAACGATTTTACAGGGGTGGTGAGTCCTTGAGGTGGACACACTGTATATGCAAGCCAATAAGGTTAGTTTAGTTCATCGTACCAGTATATCACGTGACGAAACTACTGTGTTAGCGAAACATGCCGTGGGAATTTTGTGTAAATCTTGTCGTTTGTGAAGTTTCCACATTATCAGGTATGTTTTTCGGGAGTAAAAAATATAACACTTAAACAACTATTGGAGCAAGAAAATCTCATGAGTTCAAAATAACTGAGAGGGTTACTTTATGGTTTACATGTATTATTTAATGATACATCGTATTTCCCTCATAGAGGTTTCGACAAGGGTCAGCAGATTATTCCAGACCGTCATAAATCATCAATAACTTACTCTTCGTAGGTTTCCGGTAGTCCGCAACTGGCTCTGTGCCGACTGTAAAATCGGTTTTCCAAATCAATTTTCGTCTCTCCCACCATATCGTCTGACCCGACCAAATCCCAGTCGTAAATCTGAACGGTCAGGACAGAATCTTGCGGAAAAGTTGCCTCAATTTCAAAGCATCTGGATCAAGAAGGAAAAAGGATTAGGTAGGGTCAACATATGTGAAATATGGGGTCGATTCGCGGATAAAAAGAATAGTCTATAGTATAATGGTATAGTATACAAGGTGATTCACGGTGGATGACACATTAGACGTTTCTGGAGAACGCAACTCAGAATTATTCTGAAAAGTTAGTGCCTTGGATGATTAGTTGTGTTCTATCGTCCTAAAATATTCTCAGCGTTGCGACGTTGCCGCTTACATTGAAAAGTAGCAACAACTATGATTTTTTCAATGGAACACCCTGTATATCATTCCATTTTCAGATTTTCCTCGGAGAGCTGATTCCATCGATTCATCACACTTTGGGTCTACCGTGAATGATAACAAAGATATTGGCTGTGAAAAATTTTTCAACTTTGAAAATTTTTTATGTCGAAACTATCCAAAATTGATCAAAACGGTTTTCATATCCCTATCTTAACTTTTCATGTACTAGTAATTGATATTCAATTAAAATAAATATAGGGTGGTTCAGAATTGAGATTATTGACCATCCTGTATCTATTTCAAGTAAATATTAATCGATAGTGCATGAAAAGATAAGAAGGGGACATGGAGACTGTTTTGATCAATTATGAATAGTTTCGACACAAACAATTCTTAAAGTTGTAAAATTCCGTTTTTTCACACCCTATATCTTTGTTATCATTTCTGCTAGACCCCAAGTGTGATAGATCGATGGAATCATCTATTTAGGAAGAATCTGAAGATACATAATGATATTTAAGGTGTTCCATTGAAAAAATCAAAGTTGTATTGCTACTTTTCAATATAAGCGGCAACGTCGGCTAATGTGCCATCCACCATGAATCACCCTGTATAGTATTCTCGGATAAAATGAGGTGACTAAATGGACTGTATTACGTGAAGTTGTACATTTATCATAGGGGACTGAGCATCACTTGATGATTATTGTTATTTAGGGAGTTACTTTAGTAGAGATAGCAAGATCAAAACAGAGTTGAACTTATAGAACTCCTAAGACCGTCTGAAACCCTCCAAATCTTTCAAGCACTCCTAACACATATCTGTGATAGCTTTAAGATCTCACACCTCTGAGCATTATTTGGCCTTGGACTGAAAGCAGTTAAACTAACCCTAATATGATTGTCTATATAAACTACCCCACATTTGAAGTGAGACAAGCAAGAATCTCTATCATTTTCAAACCGTCATAATTTTGGATTGGATCAACCAATTTTCAATTTCTTTCAAGATTCTGATAGCTCATTCCATTGAGTAAAACGTGAGTACTTTTTTGTTATTCCATCTTTCCGACATGAAGACCTACAGGGTGATATCTGAAAATGTGATAATTTTCGAAAAGTTTGGGATCACCGTTTTTCACCGGGATTTTCTTTTATGTCTTATTGAGGGCAATAAAATGAAGCACAATGAGTTTTCCCGATTCAAGAGGATTCATACAAGATGTTTCGATGTATGGAATTTTTCACATCATATTGCAATTTTCGGCAAGTTTGAGATCGCCCCGTTTGGCAGGGATTTTTATTTTGATTCATTGAGGGCGATAAGATGAAGCATAATGAGTTTTCTCGAAATGCATTTTGATTCAGGAAGATCCATACATGAAGTTGTGATATATGGAATTTTTCACAATATTTGCATTATGATGTTCAACCAACATAAACTCAACTTCAACAGAACTTTAGATTAGCTTATCCTGCTCAACGCTATCACTATACAAGGTGTTTTACATCTTCAAACATACCGGGTATCATCGAATTTTTCAGACAAACCATGGTTTCTAGATTTCCAGACGTATGAGATTCGAATTTGGCAGGGGTGTAGAATTCGAGAATTGGTCAATTTTTCAAAATTCCATACTCTCCCATCACTTCCCGGTTTGACCAGAAACGACCTCATCTTTCAATTTTCAAATGGGACATCCTGCATTTCATGCCATATGTGGTTAGGGAGTATCATAACGAATTCAACAATACTGGGTTTGAGAGAGTTATTTCGGACAATTACGAAAATATTCTCGTTCGAAATTTTCATATGCTCAATAAGAATTGTAACAGAGAAAAAGTTTTTTTTTAGGCAATATTATGTTGTCTTCAAACTTCAGTGACAATTCTCGCGCATGATGTGGTAGTTCATTATCATCATCAACCAGTATGAAATTGTCACCAAAAGTTTTGGGCAACTGGAACGACAACTTCCCTAACACAATGAATGTCTTATTGATACTGCAGAGTATTCACACTCTCTTTGAAGATAACCAACGTGGGGCAACAATTCATCATGATACCGCCCCATGTCAATTTTATATACTCATTATTTTCTCATTATGAATATTGTGTTTATTATAATTATTATTAACGGCATTTTGTTCGTAATATTTCAATTTATTTCTACAACATGCATTATGTTGTGAAAAATTCCATACATCCAAATATCCTGTATACATCCTATCGAATTCAAAACCATCTCGAGAAAACTCATTGTCATTTTATCGCCCTCAATATCAAATCAAATCAAATCAAAATATACTTTATTGCCTTAAGATGAGTATCTTGTAGACAAAGTCATAATAAATAGATATAAAAATACAGACATAGGTACTATCGACGAACAAACACGTCATCAAATACAAATAAAAATATTTCTATCGTTCAACATTCAACAGGAATAAAATAATTATAAATAAAATAAAACATATATATATATATATATATAGAACCAAGGTGGAGGAACGTCACACGTTAACAGAACAATGAGAGATTAAAAGATTAAATGATTAAAACATATATTAAAACTATACTAATTGAAAACCATAGCCATTGCCAGGAACTAGTAGATAAACACATAGCAAGAATCAACTTCAAATCATTATAGGAACCATATCTTTATCAAAGTAGTCTTGAACACTATAAAATACCTGTTCAATAAGTACTTGCTTCACAGACTTTCTGAACTTATCATGTGATTGGATATCTTTGATAAATTCCTGGTGAAACGGGTTGATCCCAAACTGTTCGAAAATTATCACATTTTCAGATATCACCCAGTAGGTCTTCATGTCGAAAAGGTGGAATAACAAAAAAGTACTGACGTTGTACCCAATAGAATGAGCTATCAGAATCTTGAAAGAAATTGAAAATTGGTTGATCCACTCCAAAGTTATGACGGTTCGAAAATGATAGAAGTTTTTGCTAGTCTCACTTCAAATGTGGAGCAGTTTAGTTGCCATAAGGTCATATAGAAATTGTAGAAAATCAAGCTGCCAAAGAAGAAGGTGTGACACTATTCTTCAAATTGGAACTCTTTTGTGGCTAACCAATGCAGTATGAGGGATGTTCGAGTATGGAAAGGGAACAAGAATTCGTCATAGGCATACCAAAAAAGAGAGATAAAGCTAAGAATATCGACTCATTCATAAAAAAGATCATATAATGGTGGTCTAGCGAACCTTCTACCCATGTAGAACATCATATTGGCTAGAACTTGATTTCACAATAGCCCAATATTCGAATATTGAATAATATGGAATTAATAGATTGTGTCGATATAAGATTTATTTGCCAATATCTATTCGATATTGACGAACTATTTATGATCACAATATGTCAATTTTCATGATAAGCTGATGATATATACATGCGTTCTCGCTAGTACAATAATTGAAATTCCAAGTCATGGGGTATATTGAGTTCTTGATCTGTTATTCTTTTGAAGAAGATTATGAAATACATAACTCTTCCAGACCAGTACATAATTGTGGACATCATATACAGGATTGGTTTAATGAGTTTGAAAGTTGATTTCAATTCCACTTTTTCATCTACATCACTGAAGAGAAAAGAGTGTACGAGTGCATCTGATGGACCGTTTTTCTTGACCCATGATCCTGATATACCCGGTATCTAGTCTCTCAATATTTGTCGTCAGCCTTACCTTTTTGTGTTTTCTTGACTCATCGTAGCTATACAATGAATTCTAAATGCACGAGTTTTTGTCTTTTTACCAAGGTTATCGTTTTTAGAGAATATTATAGTACCTCGCTGATGACAGAGGTAATTGAGTCACTAATGATAAGTGAATATGTCATTGATGACGAGTGAATAAGTCACAAATGACATGTGAGACCCGTTTCAAATTGATATATGTAATAAAATATCTCAGAACCGATATTGCAGTGATATTTGATTTCTAATGTCAAATCGACATTAGACATTTTTTTCTTCAGTATTTGAGCGACGTTATAACAGCTGGCGCCACTAGCACGTCTCCAACAAACCACCACTCAGAGGCATCAAATACCGCAGCATTCGTTTGGTATTCTGGGATGCAGAAAACGAAAATGGATATGCTAATGTAATATTCCAGTACCAGTATCACTTTGTTCAATGAGGCTGAAATGGCTTCGGTTTCAGAAATTTAATTTTTTCATTATAATTCAACATAAAGATAATATTGCAAAATAGTCACATTCCCATTTTGGCCAATATGATGGGCAAATATAAATTCAATATCGAATTCACATATGATAATCATAAGAAACCGTTTTTTTTAGTTAGCATCATATCTTTGTCTAATATTGTATACGAATATAAACTCGATATTGGATGAGGCATATCGCAACAAGATTCAAACTCAACATAGCACCAAGATACCAGGATGTTCACATTGATTAGCCCAATATTCAAAATTAATATTTCTTCAACATTCACTCAATATTGGTTCAATATTCAACCGATATCAGTCTTCTAGCTGAAAGCGAGCTCACCACCCTATACTTACTTTCCGAATATTGGATTGAGCTGCTTGGATATATAATGTTCCTTGTCACTGATCCTCTTGGATCCCAACTGCAGGACAATGTAAGGGTCTGCCTTTCCGTTCATATCCATGGGGTGCAGATCATTGCCTTTCACTATGTAGACTCTGACCAACACCCTGATCGGGTCGTTAGAAGGCAGCCCTTGGAAGTAGCCGAACTGCGGGTCGAAGCCCATAACGGTTTTGTCCTCAATGTCTTTGGGCAATGGCCATTTGTATACCTTCACTGCGCCCTGAAAGAAGAACACTGATTGTCAGTTGTTCGGAACAGATATTCTAGTCCGTTCTAACCTTGAAATATCCTACAACTCTACTCTCATCTTCAGAATCATCGCCAGTCTTTTTGCCTCTGTACAATTCGAAGGTGTGTAGCCATTCTTTGAATTCATCAAATTCTGGTCTGGCCTCCAGTTCAGTGGGATAAACCTGAATATTTTCGATCATGATTATACATCGAGGTGGATATTATTGATATGACGAAAGAACTTACCTTGAACAGATCGTGCTTGTGCTTATTCTTTTTTCTGGTGCTTTTCGGGCTAATTCTTGCTGCTAGTCTGGAAGCGGTTGCAGCAGATTTGAAACCGAAACGTCTTTTATTTTCCGGTCCTGGACTTTTATCCGAACTGTTTCCGGAAAAAGAATGATTGTTGTCGTCACAGACTTGCAAGTTTCCGTTATGGTTTAGAGCTTTTTTGTCTTCCTTGGAATCGTCTATCATTTGTTCCACAGAGGCGTAATATCTCGTCCACCTGAATAAAGAGAGAGGTAAGAAGTGATGTTGAATTCCAAAGTGATATGAGAATGATGCATGTAATTCAATTCGAGCTCCATCGCACCTACGCATGAACTTACCAGTCTTTATTGTCCTCCTCATCATCCAATTCCTCGTCATAACTCAATTTTCTCTTTTTTTTCGATTCAGTTTTTGATTTATTTACATTTTGTGTTCCATACCCTGAAGAATGTCACTATACTAATGAAAATCAGAATACTTGGAATATTTTCTCACCTATTTGAATTGTTATATCCTTAGGCAATAAAGGACTTTTCTCCTTATCACTCCTTGCAATGAAATTCGTTGGCGGAACTTGATTGCTTCCCAAATTGCTTTCTACAGCTTTCAGTAAATGCGAGCTCTTTCTTTTTTCCTCTGCTTCTCTGTCTTTTTTCGTTAGGGGTGTGTAGATGTATTTATGAATGGAGTTGATGATATGAGTTCCGACAAGAGTATATCTCCCGAAACTTCTACAATCTACTGCACGTATTGTTAGAGGTGGTCTGAAATCAACAAATCGATTCACTAAAAGTTTGGAGCTGCGCATATTTTGAATGCAAATCACCTATAAAGCTCCTGTTCCGGTAGATCAACATCTAGAAACTTCACCGGCGTACTAAAATTGGGATTCTTCTTGCTGTTTTGTATGATGCTGGAATACAAAATATTTCCTGAACACTCTATATCTACCCTGGGCTTATCAACGGTGAGCAGATGTATCCTCTTCAAATCCCTGAGACCCCAGAACAACACTTCGATTCTATATCTGGCCAAAGTGGGCCTTATCCCTCTAGGAACCGGTAAGTGGAACCCTATCTGTTTGAGATCGGTCTCGTGATACATCGGAATCTCTTTGGGATGTGGTAGAGATGGAAGAGGTTCTTCAGTATCGCTGGGAATTTCCAGTAGTTCGAATGCCGCGAGTACCTCGCCAGCTCTGTCTGTTCCACGGGTCACTGGAAACCTGAGAAAATTGAGGTAAACTGTTGATGCTTCAGCTGCTTCTCCATGAAAACGGTCAATGACTCACCATTCGAGTGACGGAGGGAACTTTGGTTTCAAATAAGGCTCGTCTTTGAGCTTCACGCTAGGCTTCGCCATGGTTCTGCCGATGAACTCGCTTTTCCCCACCTTGTCCTGATCGAAGATCTCCACCACTATGGGCGGTGGGTCATTTTTTATTTCATCGCCATCACCGTAGATGAGGATTTCCTCGAATACCAAGAGCTCGTCCCATGTGGGACTGAGAGTTTCGTCGATGACCTCTGTGGTTTTGCAGAATTCGCCAGCTATTATTCTGGCGAATGGGTCTGACAAGCCAGAAGCGTCGCTGCCTATGAGAGATCTTGCTTGGTAGATGTTCGCACGTAGCTGAAATAACTGAGAAAAACGTTGATATGTCAGGAACCAGCTCATATCAGAAAAATCAAGGAGCGTTATAGCTACAAAGTTGTCCAGTGAAGACCAGTTGCCTAGTTGATTGAGGAAGCTGGAGATTATTTCTTACAGATCAGAACATAGGCTGTTGAAAGATTGAGCTTGGTACCCATATAGACCAACCCAAGTTAAAAAAAAATTATCCTTTGATACACCAAGCAAGGAATGTGTTTTGGAGCATCTCTGATGCCTTAACTTTAAACATAGAAATGGAGATAACAATAAACTATTATCAGCAATCGAGATTAGAAACAAATAGATATATACATCCTTGTACATATTGGACAATCAGAAATAATTGAACGGCTTGTTGAGAAACCTACAGTGAAAACAAGAATACAAGTTTCTTGTATAACTGGACATAGAAGGTGTTACATTTGGTCTGGTACAGGATTGAGTAAATGAATCTGGATAACCTTGATCCTACTTATGATATATGTAGTATAACAGTAGAAATCAGGATATTTACGTGCTTTTCCACATAGTGAATAGTTGAAGGCGGTAGAGCTCTGGGTCTTTCGACGTTTCGGATCTCCTGGGTCAGTTCGTAGCCTCTGGGGATGCCACTGATGAAGTTCTTCTTGTACTTGAGCATGCCTAGCCACAGGTAGATCTGCAGCTTGGCTGGGATTGTCCATCCGCTGGGACCTATGCCTTTCTTCCCTGGAAGCTGAGAATCAGTAGTGATATATGAGAATGGCAACTAGGATGGTAAGGTGAAATATGAAAGTATTCATCTTGTTTTAATAGGCCCAGAACGAAAATACAAAAATCAACTTGGCGATGAAAATCCATTTCATAAAGTTCCTGGTGCACGTGGAATTCCTATGAGTTGAGGTTTATTCTATGAAATGAAAGTTTTTCCAATTGGAGTTTATGTGAAACGCAATCAAATGCCTATGAGAGGTCACACATGGTCAATAATGAATGGTCACGACCCTCCAGATCGACTACGCTTTCCACGATCTCAAGAAGAGCTTCTATTGTAGATCTCTTATCACGAGAGTCGAACTAGGCAGAGTGCAATAGATCGAAATTCTCAAAATATCCTAGTAACCGAATTTTTAGTGAAATCCCAGAATCTTCGGAAAAATAACTATAATGGATATTGGTCGGTATATGTCCCTCACAGTCCCCTTTTTTATGTAAAGGTATTATTTTTGCAATAGGCGCCGAGTGGACTGTTTTTTTTTCATTTCTCAAATAGAATCATCACTCAAATACCTTCAAATCTTTCAGGAACTTTTTGGTCGATTTTAAGGTGCTAAAATTATCAATGATGCCACAGTAATTTTCAAACGTCTAAAATGGACCCGCACATCTAGTACAGAAAAGGGCTTTCGGCTAATTTTTCTTAAAATTTGATATGTTTCAGATATTAGCGTCCTTATTACACAGTCGAATTTGCTGATCGACCATATGACCAGTTTTCGAGCTACAGGGTGTCAGGGGGATTTTGGCTGTTTAGAATATTTTGCATCGATTTGAATTATGTGCTCTAAGTCGTGATAAATCTTCAGTAGAAATAAACGCTTCACGGCTAATTCATACCTCATGAATCCCTCTATTCGAATTGATGATAATATCACATACAGGGTATTGCATTCCAAGGTATTATTCATGGGAATAGACAAATATTGAAAATATCAGAACTTCGATTTTAAATCAATCACTGAAAAAAACCGCTAGAATCGGCCATTTATTTGACACACTATGGATATGATTTCCTCTGATACAATGTCCGGTTTGCCATATATAGGGTGATGACAATTTGAAAGCTTAGAATTGATGTAACTCATGTACAAAATGAGATACATATTATCACAAATGATTCATAACTGTTTATATAATGCTGGGTGGAAATGCTTTCCAGTGGTATTATTCATATCTTGGACTGGGTGAACTAACAAACAATATTTATTACCTATATCATCCTGCTAGGCTACAAATTCGATGATCTCTTGAAAACTCAAACGTAGCGGACATGTCTCAGTTTTACAGCTTCTATCTTGGAGGTGTTTTGCTGGATTGGATGAAGCTGTATCGGTATCGTCTGACGAACTCAAATGTTCAAAGATCAGTGATTCGGGTATCTTTTTCAGCAACTATAGGTTATATATAGTGCTCGACATAAACGATTTTTTTCTCATACTACAAAAAGTAGCAGAATGATATAGGTAATGAATATTTTTTGTTAGTTCACCCAGTCCGAGATATGAATAATACCACTGGAATGCATTTTCACCTTTTCACCGAGCTGTTCAATGAGGTATCACAAGTAGGGGCTACTATTGAAATTATATGCGTCGTGGTGGTTGTGACTTAGGCAGTTGGTAGGGGTATTTCATGGGACATTTTATTTTCCACTTTATAAGTTATATAAACAGTTATGAACCATTCGTGAAATGTATCTCATTTTGTACATGAGTTACATCAATTCTAAGCATTCAAACCGGACATTGTATCAGAGGCAATCACATGAATCCTCATGTTGATGATCGAAATCCATTGTGTCTCAAATAATTGGCAGATTCTTGCCGTTTGTTTTCGAGTTTTCAGTGATTTAGTAAGAATCGAAGTGATATTTTCAATATATGTCTATTCCCATGAATATTACCTTGTCATGATGGAATGCCCTATATGTGATGTTATTATCTATTCGAATAGAGGGATTTATGAGGTAGAAATTAGACGTGGAGCATTTATTTCTACTGAAGATTTATCACGACTAGAGCACATAATTCGAATCGATGCAAAATATTCTAAACAGCCAAAATTGATTGTCTTTATTACCCCAAGAAACATTATTGTTTATAATAGGTATATATACAACAAAAACATATATAACATAATAAATCGAAACGATAATGATTGCACAATTATCGTTTTTCATAAAAAAAAAAACATAATAAAATATAAAATGAAAATATCATAACCCATTACAAGTAATCAAATTTTGAATGATCAGTACTATTAGTAATGGAATTAAAGTTTACTGAGCAGATATTTCTTTAATTTCATTTCAAATGCTTCTTCTATATTTTTCAACTCATTAGGTAAGGAGTTATATGGAATTATTCCATCATGGAATATTGATTGTTTACCAAAATTTGACTTATAATTATTTGCTATCAATAAATTGAATTGCCTTGTTTCATGGGCGTGAATCGTATTAAGTTCATTAAAATTCAAATTCGATATTTTCAATTCCTTCCTGGCAAAATGAATGAAACAAACAATTTTTAGTTTATATAATGAAACTAGATTCAGCAAGTCTTTAGGTTTGTATAGATTCGCAGTTGATTCTAAAAAAGGTAAATTGAAAATGCACTTTATTGTTTTATTTTGTGATTTCATGAGTGGCTTCAAACGTGAAATATTTGTACTTCCCCAAATAGATATTAGATATCGTATATTTGAATAAAAATGACAGAAATAAATACTCTTTAGGTATCTAACAGGAAGGAAATTTCGAATTTTATATATAATTCCAGCAATAGGATTCAATTTTTTCCTCAATTGATCTATATGTAGAGTCCACGATAGTTGTTCATCTATATAAAGACCTAAATATTCTGTTACATTTGTATATTCAATGGATTTGTTTGGGGTATTATTCAATGTATCCGTTGTTCTTTTTGAGATGTACATATACGTTGATTTACTATAATTAAGAGTCAACTTATTGGTCGTTAGCCAAGATGATAATTGTTTCAAATCATTTTTAATATCATTATTTAATATCGTTGAAATCTTTTGAAGTATGGATTATTGTTGTATCATTTGCAAATAATTTTTGTTTTCCTTTCAATTTTAAAGTAGATATTGAGTTGATATAGATTAAAAATAAAAATTTGCCCCAAAACTGATCCTTGCGGTACACCACATGTAATATTCACCCTGTAGCTCGAAAAAAGGCCATAGGATCGTTAAATTGGACTGTGTAATGAGGACGCTCAATATCTGGAACATATTTCCAGAAAAATCAGCCAAAATCCATTTTCCGTACGAAATGTGCGAGGTCCTTTAATTATTTTATCAGCTATCGTACTGAAAAAACTTTTGAAATCATTCAATGTTATTGAATTGCTTATTTTTGGATAAGATATTCTATTAGATTCAGAATTCACTAATTTCCAGCTTGTTTCAACCCAAATTTGCAGCCATTGTCGACTGGCCAATTATATCTCGTATCTCACCTTGAGGAACATCGTCTGGACTTTTCCGCAATCCTTGCCGGATTCCTGGTCCTCCGTTGAATAAATGATGTCCCTGGCGGGGATGCGTCGGTACGCCTGCCGTTTGCCGCCGCTTATTATCCAAAGGAAAACGTCAGGCAGGGCGTGTTGGGGCTGCCGGCAAGTGAAAATGTGATTTAGATACGAGGTGCGTTCGATAAGATACGGAAACAATGCGTGGAGAATGTGTCGAATATGGGGAAACTAAAGATGATCAATAAATACATTAATCTCTGGCAGACGTCAGAGTGCAGTGGAAGAAGGACTGATGTAAATCAATTGAAGGGACAAGTTTCGGACTCATGAAAGTCCATATTCAGCCTTTATTAGAATTTAATGGAGGTGACACAATATTTTGAATTGGATTGAATTGAATGCCGATGTCTATCATCATAAAATCGTGGTTATATTGGTGGAAAGAGATTGGTGGAAAGAGGGGTTGCGAATAAACGGGTTCCCATTCGAAATAAAGGGCCCCGTGCCCTAAGAACGCGCACTTATAAAACCAAATGTCAAGTCCCAGAAGGGAAAACTTGGCGAGTACTCAAAGATACTCATGAAAAACCAAGCAAAATGCGTCTGATTAGCGTTCACGGAGGACGATACTGGGCATTCGACACTCAACGGGTGGAATATCTGGCGGTACTTTTCTCTTAGGATCTAAGGTGGAGTTTGTTGCGAACATCTCTACAAAAATGTTTGATTCCTCTTACGATGTTGTTGCTAATGTGCCGTCGGCTTTGGAGAGTGATGGGAATGAACTATTTCTCAAATCATTTGGAATTCCCAAGTTCATTATAACCGGTCAGTGTATTGATTGATTATCTTTCATTTCACATATTTAATGTACTCAGATTCTGTCATCATTATATAACACATTTAATGCATAAAATTACTTCTACGTACTAGTGCGTGAAAGTCTGTCGTTATAAAATTTAAATCCTTATTGAAAAAATACTATTTTGAAACAAAACTGAAAAAAAATAGTATCAATGAAGTGATAGCAATTGAGTGTTGTTGGTTCCAATAGAGTTTTGATACGGCATTTTGTGCTTGAGATTCATTGAACGGATATATCTAAATAACCCGAAAAATATCAAAGGGTGTTTGTTAAATTTGAAAAAAAAAAATATCTACAGACGGCACATTATTTAGGCTATTGGGGTGATGTTGTGAATTTGGAACATCGATTCGGAAAGTCAGGTTTGATCTTGAAGAGATACGGGGTATGTTGAAACGCAGTGTGGATAAAAGGGACGCCGATGTCATGTGCATGTTATGACTTACTTACGTCTTCTGTGAGATTTTTGAGTTTTCCCAAAAAACCCTGTGCGGTTTTGTATCGCTGTTTGAAGGAATGTCTGGTGACTAACGCTCTGACATTCCTTGCAGAATTACCGATATTCTCCTGCAAAATAAACCAAGATATTCACGATAAGGTCATCTTGAAGTTGAAATAATTTCGATAATATTATAGTGACAACTCGAGAGTTCATCAGGGATAATTGCGCAATATACAGGGTGTCTCGAAATAAGCCTGTCAAACTTCTACAACAAAAAATAGGAAGAAAAGTTTCAATGAACATGAGTCGAAGAATGACTCCTAAGGAAACTACGGCTCCCTGAAAGGGGGTTGCTGACGATGATATTTCTTGAATATTTCCGAAAGACCTTGTGATAAAATGATGCGATTCAGTATAAGAACTTATCTTTGCATGGTCAATGCAGTAAAATAAAATCATACAGGGTGGAACCAGTGGCGTAGCGAGAGGTGTCGGGGCCCCGGTGCAACGAGGGTTGATGGGGCCCTAATTCACTGAGAAAATTTTCCAACCCTAGAGTTAAAGGTAGTTGAAGATCGAAAAAAATAACAGAATTGTTTAAAATGTATATCTCTTGTAGTGGCGAGTCGTTATGAGTTTGAAATTTGAGAAAAGTTGATATGAGCAAAATTGCGCTTCAGGTAATTCTTTTCGAAATTTCAAGGTCAAGCTGCCTGGTTTAGAAGTTCAAAATGAGAATCGAATATATTTGTCTCTTGAACAGTATGAATCTAGTAGCCCCATCAGTTAATTCAATTTCCAATGAAAACAACTGAATGTACCTAACTATTTTTCTGTTCTCTCGAATGAAGTCACGAAATGACAAAGTTTAGGAATTGTATTTGCAAATGTTGCCGAGCCATGGCAGCCACCTGATACCTCCGCTTGTTCTCTGCAATCTGAGTGAAGCTATTTGTCGATCGCCTCACCTCCGTTTGTACCATGCAGTGACTTTTGCAGAAATTTCAATCTAACGCGGTATTTAGTTGAAACAACTAATTTTGAAAATGACTCCAACAGGGCAACTGAATTAAAACAATCAAATATTTAGGACACGTGTATAAGGACGCAAATTTTCATAGGTAAGTAAGTATATTCAGCCTGTGACCGTTTTGATTAGCTTCCAACTGACGATTATGATCTGGTCTCGCTGCTGGCAGCAATATTTCATATTGTAAAATCACAGTTGAGTTCAACGGGAATATACACTCACCGGCAAAAAAAACCGGCCACCATAAAATTTCGCCCTGTAACTTTTTTAATTCTTGTCCGATTTTGGTGAAATTTCGACCAAACCGTATATTCATGTTTCGGAATATTTTCTTGAACTTTAGGTCCCGAGGAAAGCTGATGATGGTTTGATCATTATACAGGGACAAACAAAAGTTACTCTTTTACCCTTAACTTCCTATTGCCCTGTGGAAAAAGTGAGTGGTTAAACTTGGCTTCATTATGTTTAGGATTGAAATTTGATCCTTTTTCGTCCTTTCTCAGCATATTGATTCAAGATTCACGTCAATATCTCCTTTTAAAGAGAATATACAAGTGTTCGAAGAAAGTATAGAATTTTTTAATTTTTGTCAACAATAATTCAAAACCTCTATAGAGTATCTTAGGGATGAACTTCAGAGGCTCATTCGCAATCGTCCGGCCTTGTCAGAGACTCTTCAAGAGCTACAATTGAAGAATTCTAGTTATTCTCTAAGTCCACTTAAGAAATTTGATCAACTCGATGACAGGGCGGTTAAATGCTGTAATTCAAACTCGAGGAGAGCATACTGGTTATTATTGACTACAGGTCTGCTTTCTGTTTGTTTTTTGTATTTAAGGTTTTTTTAGGTAAGTGCTATGAAAATGAGGTAGAAATTAGTAATATTGATTTCTCAAGTTGTTAATCAATAAGTTGATGTAGGATCTAATTATTGTTAAAAATAATTTAAAAATGCCATAATTTCTTAAAACACTCGTATATTCTCTTAAAGACGAGTTATTGACGTGAATCAGCAACCATTGTGTTAGGAAGGGATCAAACTTCAATCCAGAGCATAATAAAGCCAAGTTCAATAACTCAATATTGCCACATGGCGTTGAGAAGTAAAGGGTGAAATAGTAACTTTGGTATTTCCCTATATAATGATCAAGTCATCAGTTTTTCACAGAAACTAATATTCAGACTAACATTCCGGAACATGAATCTACGATTTGATAGAAATTTCACAAAAATCTGACAAGGATTAAAAAAGTTACATCAGGATTCATGAATTAATTTGCACACTAATACTTTCTTGCATTATACCTGCTGATGCAGATTGGGATATAGGGGCCCCTCCGGGGCCCCAATGCCCCGGGGCCCCGGTGCACCGCACCGAACTGCCCGTCCATAGCTACGCCACTGCGTGGAACTACATTAAATATTGCTCAAACGTTTTTATATGCATATTTTCTACAATTTGATTTCGGATAATGAAAATCCACATCTCGAGATCTATTTAAGAAATATTGCTACATCTCAGATATAATACATAAAATTGCAATAAATAGTGATGAATAGTTATAAAAAAAATACACTTAAATTGTTGTTGTTCTTCATCTTCATTTTTCTATTTCACGCGCCTCTATGAAATTTTCTGATCAAAAGGAAGTAGTTGATTTCTTTATATAGCTGATGTGATTGGAAAATTGCCAACGTTATGCATAAAATGTGATTGTAACAATATCTTTGAATCGATTTCAATCTGATCGATACGGAACAGGATCGTTTTTTGTGGGTGTGGATTTACATAATCCGAGATTGAATTGTCGAAAAATATGCATATAAAAAAGTTTGAGCATATTTAATATAGTCCCACCCTACACTCCCGAATGAGATTTCGAAAATATTTCATTTTCATTGCATTGGACATGGAAAGTTAGTTTTTCTACAAGCGTTCGTGATTCACCCTATACCCGCACGCAATTTAGTTTGGGAAGTGTTATTTTCCCGCAACATTGCCGGAAAAATTTTCCCACACTAGTGCGGGAAAAACAAAGATATGATAATATGGCAAAATATAAGTGGTAGGTGATGGAATATGAGAGTTTGAGTTTGTTTGTTGCAGTATTGAGTATGTATGTTCAGAATCATTTATCAAATTGCACTATTCATTGTGAGAATTAAGAAATATTGAAAAATTGATTATTATAAAAATCCCCCTATAGATTTGGATTGATCTGATGAGAAACGATTATTGTTGTCATGCCAATCAAATCTCAAATGAGTTTGTAATTGTCGAAGTGACTGACACAGCGTTACTGTCATTATCGATTCAGTGGAATTGCCACAATGTGATCAAAAACTTCCAGCAATAGGGATGCAATACAGATGCGTTATTGCCAACGAAGTCTTAAGAAAGGTATGAGAAGCTATACACGCGTTTTATTGAATGGTGCAACAATGAAGAAATGAAAATACCGAATAAAGAAGAAGCATTTTTGGCTCATTTCCTAGAAGTGTCTGAAACCTAGAGACAAAACACCTTATGGGCCTGCTGGCTTCCGCAATGAACCTATACATAATGCGTCAAACTGTAAGTTCACAATAGCAATTACTAATAATCAGTAGATAGAGAATATATTTCTCTTGTTAGTTGTTCCTATATGAATGAATAATTAATTGAATAAATAAATAAATTTCCAACGCTTGTAGAAAAAATATTGTTCCTAACTCATGCGGAAAGTGTCTTTCCCGCACACGACTGCCGCTGACACGAACGACGCGAAGCGGAGTTCGGGCAAGCAGTCGAGTGCGGGAAAGAATCACTTTCCGCACTTGTTAGGAAAATTACTATTTTGGACAGAATTGCATCATTTTGTCACATGGCATTTCGGAAATATTCAAGAAATATCATCTTCAGGAGTTCCCTTTCAGAGGGCCGTAGCTTCCATAGGAGAAACTCGACTCAAGTTCATTGAAATTTTTTAAGATCACCACTGCGATACAACTGCTGAATTTCTGGAGGACTGGTTTCAAAACAAGCTGCAAGAATCTGTGAACACGTAATCAGGACCGTAGAGATAAAAAAACGTGAATCTAGAATATTTATAGATTTTTCATGACTCTAATAACTAAAAAAACAAGAAACAACTTTTTGAACTGTATGATTTTGAAAATTTGGTGCTTTGTATCATCACTTAGATTAACGACATTCAATCTATAATCATCATAATGAAATTATTCATAACCAAGAAAATGGACCTGAAAATTGGGGGCCGGTCAAAGAAAATGCCCGGTAGCAAAATAGTAGCCAGTCCGGGCCTTACACTAAGTGGACTGTGGATTACGCAATAAATGAATAAAGCCTCCAATATGGGCGCACACACCAACAATTTAAATCGAATTTATGGCGAATGCGCTTTCAATATTATCATTAAGTTTTCATAGAATTCGTGAATTAAAATATGACCAACGATTCTCAAACAAACATGAATGAAGGTGTACTGAAAATCTAGTTTTTGAAGTCAAATAGGTTCGAAGGATACTAAAGAATGTAGTCAAATAAACTGCTCAATACATCGCATTTTTTCGATTTAATTTGAATCATCGTAACTTTCGATTGCCTCGACCGATCTTCAATTCTTCTTCAGTTTCTGAATGCTCGTTCCATTGACATGGTTATTGCATCTCTTCGGAATGAGATTCTACAGGATGATAATGAAAGCTGTGCAGGTTTAAAAAAATCACGCATTCAAGCATTATTGCCTTGCAAAATCGTCAATTTCCAAGTTTTGGCGTAAGGCTATTTTGGCGGAAACGTAAATTATGGCGAAAGCATATTTTGGTAAGAGTACCTCCAGCTATCCCGTTTGAAAGTGATTTTTTCAAATTTTTTTGGGGTCAACAACATCGCATCATATGTTTTCTCGGTACTGCTCAAAATTTTCTGAAATTGTCATACTCGTTAGTGGAAAATGAATAGTCTATTGAATATGTGTTCCTGTCATTCTGGTTCGAACGGTGGTCAAAAATTTTGTAATGATGCATGATCAACATATGCCTATACAGGGCAGTCCTCAATTTACAATTATGCATCAAGTCTCAAGAAAAAAT